ATGGCTTCTAGCCCCACACTGCCAGGAGCCACCTTGAAACAGATGGCAGTTAAAACCCCTTGCATGAAGTTCTACCATGTTGAAATTGACTTGGTTACAGGTCATTCTTCACCCCCTCCGCCCAACCTCTCAGTTTTTACAAGAGCTGGTTTAACAGCCCCTTTAAATCCCCAGCTACGGGGCAGAGTCCCGCCTTCAGCCAAACCCATGGGATGACACCCCCTCCCGCGGCGCACAGAGGCTGCTGCGCTCCTCCTCCAGGGCCGACACCAGCACACTGCCGGGTTTAGGGCGCAGGGCCCGATTCGGGGGAATCGGGCGAATTGGCCTAAAGCCGGCCCTGCCTGTTGCTTCTCCTCTGCTGAGACAGGAGCGCCCAGAGGGGAGGGTCAGATGTCACATGTTCCCCAGTGACTTGCTGGCGTCTCAGAAGGAGAGACCTAGTTAACTGGAGATTCCTCCCAGGTTGTCTCGGGTGCCTTGGGAGCTAACAGTGAGATTTATTGGCAGAAGAGCAGCTGGGGAGGCAGGGGGCGGAGCGGGGACCTTTATTCTCGGCACAGCCGTGTGCCTACTGTTCTGCCTCTGCCACGGCCACAGCAGCCTCAGGCCGGGCTGCCTCTCTCCTGTGCTCCCCGCCCCGCCTGGCCTTCTGCCAGCAAGGCCTGCTTATCCCAGGTGTGAAGCCAGTGGCAGAAGCGCTTGTATGTGGATCCTTCGCTGGGCTCCAGAGCTAGTACCACGTCCATCGCTGCATCAGCCATGCAGAATGGGAGGCGGAGGCCGTATAACGCGCTGGCTGGTAGGGGAGAAGCAGTCAGGACTGTTGGCTTCTGTTGAAGCCTTGAGACAGTCCAGCTGTCCCGGAGGAGCAGGTGGTGTAGGGCTCGACCATCAGCTTGGAACTGCTCTGGAGTCTCCGGTCTGAGTCCTAGCAGGTTTGGCTCAGCCCTTCCTTCCACCACTGGTCGTGTGGCCCACTGGCTGTGGGCTGTGCCCATGAGCCCTGGGGCAAACCAGGGCCATCCCACAACTGCGTGGAGGCTGGGCCCATTGCATGAAAACTGCCCCAACCGCCCTGTGCTGCCTTAGGTGGCTGTTTCGTCCTCGCTTCACACGTAGCGTTGGTCTCTCCTGCTGTGGCATCAGCAGGCTCAGTGGATCCCAGCCAAGCTCCTGGCCTGCACCTAACATACGGTCTTGTTAGGCAGCAGCAGGGGAAGGTTAGGAGAGCCAGATTAGGGCATAGCTGGCATGGGACTGTCCCCCGCTCCTGCAACACGACTGTGGGTGGTCGCCAGCGTGGAGGTAACTAGCTCATCCCCATCCTCATTTGTCCACCCCTGGGCCTGGAGCCCCACCTCTGCGTGGCTGCACCCTCAGTCTCTGAATTAGGCCAGGGAAAGCAGGTGCTGCAGCCTCAGGGGAGACGTGACTAGAGCAAAGGCGAGTGCTGGGTTAATCTGACATTGTCCTGCAGTTCAAACAAGCCTGGCCTGGCCCCACGTGCCCATTGCTGCTCTGGAACTAAGAGGTCCAGGTTCCAGCAGTAACTCCAGATGCTCTGCCAGCTGCCACCAGCTGCCTTTGCCTCCAGCTGCGTGGTAGGGGGCAGCTTGGAGACAGGTTTGATAACGTTAGAGACCCTTTAATAACAACAGGGGGGAGTTACATCCAGTATATCCTGGGGAGGGCGGGGTGGTGGGTTCAAGTTGTGCTCACCCAGGGAGAGGCAGGATAAGGGATGCCCTGAAGGTGACATGGTGGGATGGTTTCTGCCATAGCCTAGGCGGGTATAGGGCGTTCCTCAGCTGGGAGCCTCGGCTCTGAGCAGTTCAGGCTTCTCTGGCTCAGGTACTGGGGGGACAGGACCAGGTCCGTCCAGGCCTACCTGTTTTTGCAGGTGTCTACAGCACCTGGCCCTAGGGTCATGGTCCATCACGGGGGCTCTAGGTGCTGCTCTGCACAGCTAACCAATATCTCAGAGATTCTGCGCCTGTCATGGTGTTGTCATGCAACCTCACAACTTGTAATGCATTGACCCTCCATGCCTTTGTGAGGCCAGACCGGGCTGTTATCCCCATGGTACAAGTGGGGAGAGGGAGGCACAGAAACTAGGTGATTTGTCCGTCATCCAAGAAGTCTATGGCAGAGCTAGGAACTTGAACCTAAGGTTCTCAGCATCTTGTACCCTCCCAAAGTTGGGCCAGCTCTGGGCCGCAGGAGAGAGGAGCTGGCGGGGGGAGGGCACTTTCCTGGCTCCATGCTCCAAGTACAACCCGGTTTCCTTTTCGCTTCCCCTTCTGCCGTCCCCAGAAGCTGGCTGGGCTCAGCCTCTTTGAAAAGCATCTGCACACACCTTTCAAACACACAACCCCAGCAGTGCCTTTGCTGGGCATGCTGAAGCGACAGCCACAGGGGGTGGCTGCCAGACTGGCTTCCCTGTAGCATTAGTCCCGGAGAATTCAGTGTCTGCTTCCCGTTCAGCTTTCGCTTTCCCTTCAGAGGGTTGACAGGAAAGGTAGCTAACAGCGTGCTGTGAGCTAGGGGAAGGTGTGGAACGTACCTGTCCAGAAAGAGCTAACCTGAGCCCATCCCCTCTTATCACACTAGGCAGCTGAAGGCTTTCGCATGGTCACAGCTCAAAGACAGACCCTAGGGAGAGGATCGAATCCTATCCAGGCATGTTCTGCAGAGGCGGAGAACAGCAGCCAGGACAGATCCAGTGAGAGCCAGAGCAAGGTACCCTGCACAGCAGGGCTGGCAGAGACACGGGTACATTCCCTTCAGAGACAGCTGAGCCCTTGGCCTTGCCTGGGAGAAGTGGCTGGTCACAGCAAGGTCACTCCACAGGGGAGATTTTGGATGAAATGGACCCAGAATTGGCCCAGTGGGAGAATGGGCCAGAAAAGCAGAAACGGGGGCAAGGGAGAGCAGAGCTGGAGAAGGGAGGAAGGAACGCAGAGGAAAAGATGGTGCAGATGCCACTTAGGGCAAAGGTCCCAAGTGGATCCCAGAGCCGGATGGGAGAGAGCTGGGGAGACCCCCAAATAGGAGCCAGCTGATCACGAAGGGGGCTGGTACCCACGCTGGACCCTGGAAGGAGCTCAGGGGTTGGCATCGGGAAGTCCATGTGTTGTTTGCACTGAGATCTCTAGGGGCTGGTCCATGCTTGAGCCAAGCTGCTTACAGCCCCACAACACTTCCCTTTCCCTTGTCCCACGGGCTACGCTAGCAAATGCCTCCTTCCCTCCATAAGCCTTGGGTCCCCCAGCCTGCTGGGGCATGCACACTTTCTGGCTTATGGGCCAGCAACCCAGCCAGCCTCGGGTTGGTTTCATGCCCATGTGTGCACCCCCTTTGTCCCCCACCGCCTCTGATCACAGATGTAATTAGCTGCGACATTCTCGGCATACCTGCCAGCTCCTAATGAGGGCTCCATAAAAGCTGCCGTGATCTGGTTTCCTCTGGCACTTCAGGCCAGTTGTAAATCTCAACTTTACAATTTTGAGCTGCGCTTGGAGGAAGCAGCCGTCCGTGTGAAGCCAGGGGGTGGGGACTGGAGTATCCCAGTGCGTATGAGGGAGCATGTCTCTGTCATCCGCCAGGTTTGGAGTCCGAGCAGACGGATCAAACCGTGCTGCTCTGTGTACCGCACGTTACACTGTGGATCCTTCCCACGCCTGCCTAGGCGGGCTCCACGGTCTGCTTGGCTTGGAGCGTTACTGTGACGGCAGCCCACCCACATCACGTGGCTGTGGCAGCGGGCACCCGCCTTGGCCACGCCAGCTGCCACAGCCAGCCCTCTTGTTGGCAGCTGGGGTTCGGCCCTGTGCTAATAGCCCACTGACCCATGCTGCCTCCTGCTACGCAACTGGGATTGGCCAGAATGGAGACAGACAGGCTGCTCTCCCTCCTAGCCCCACAGGGGAGGCTGGAGTCCTGCCCCCTAATTAGCATAGCCCTGCCTGAATTAGCATAACCGGAGCCAGTGGGGAGGGTTTTTCTCTGTGTGGACTGTCTTCCCTTTTGTTTTTCCTTCCGGCCCCAGAAGCGGGGGCGAGCAGCTGGCAGCCAGTGGTTTGGAGCCAAAAGGCCGGGTACGGGGGATGGCTGTGGTCAAGGCAAGGTGCTTGTCGGCCTGGATGCCCGTTGATTGCCATAACCTGGGGCCAAGGTGAGCATCTCGCACACTCGCCTGCCCGTCTGCTTCCATCCATGCAGTGAGGCTTGAATGACCTGTCCAGCCCATGGCCCATCCCACCAAGCAGGGAATGGTGGTTTTCAGGAGGAGGAGCTGGGCTGAGACCCGCCAAACTCACTTCAGCCAGAGGGGGGCCACTTGCCACCCTGTGGCGGGGGGCAGCAGACAGTCCCTGGTGAGCCAGCAGGCCAGGGCTCTACGTTGCAGATTTGGGGTGCTGCTTGTGCCCTGGCATTTGTAGCCAGCAGGTGCCTGCGAAACCTCCCAGGCCTGTTCAGAGTATGGGGGATTCTTTAACGTCCCCCGGGGGCGGTCAGATAATTTAACACCTGCCCTGCTTGAGTGCTGCCTCCTGGCGGGACCAAGCCATGTGGGGTACCACCCCTTGCACAGGGTTCCCCATAGTGCGGGATGTGCCAGCCAGGACTTGCTGGAAGGGGACAGGCAGGCATCCAAGGGGAAGACCCTTAACCCGCAGTGTGTGCGGGAGGCATCGTTGGCTTCATGCCGCGTTCTGCCCATCTGTATGCATCGCCCTGGCTTGGGGGGGAGTCTCTCTGCTCGGGGTGCAGTTGGAGCTGCAGCGCTCCTTCCTTCCCTGAGCTCACAATGTGCTCAGGGCCACTCCTAGCCCCATTTACCCCCTGCAGGACCCTGCTGGCCCACGCTAGCCTGGAGTCCATCTCCTGGCCTCGCTGTGCTCTGCAGGCTTGGTGGCGTCTGGGCCAGGCGAGAGAGCTGCCTGACGGCCCTGAGGGTAGTCCCGGGCCAAGCTGACTCAGTTCAGTATGACTGATGCCATCTGCTGGGGCACTCCTCTGCCCCCCATTGCCTGGTGAGGCAGTTTGCTGGGCAGATGGGAAACTGAGGCCCAGCGACTAAGGGCTTGTCCGCCTGAGAAAGTCGCGCTGGGTTAACTCCTGCCTCTCCGAGCAGAGCTGTCGGGGGAGGGCTGTTTGTTGCCACCGCAATCCCAGTACAGCCCTTGGTGTGCATGCTGCGAGGGAGGGTTCTTCTGTGGGGGTCGCTAGCAGCTCTCCCTTTAGACCTGCGTCTGCACTAGGTTCATTGTCCCGTTAACAAGAGCAGCCGAGTCACAGCTGTACAATTGGGCATGTCCAGAAATGGCCTTAAACTGGTGCAGAGCCCTGCAAGGTCAGTCGTATCACCGGGGGAGCTTCTGGTTTGGGGCTCACCCCCAAACTGCTCACCCCCACTTCTGGGGCCTAGTCGAACCCTGCTCCCAATGAATTTAAGCTCAAGAGAAACCAGCAAGTCCATCTAGGGGTTGCTGCTGTTTACATTCACACCTGTGACGTAAATTGGAACCACTTGCTCCTCTCGGCTGCCCAGAGTCACACAGGCAGACTGTGGAGGAGTAAGAACCGCAGCCCGTCTCTTGAGTGCCGGGTGAGCTCTCTGAACATCTGCTGAGACGGAGGCACCTTCCTTCTGCCGCTGCAGGAGCGGCTTTGCTGGCAGGGCTGCTTTTTTGTAGAGCTGGGTGCATTTCTGCCTTTGCATTGTTCAAATTACAAAGAGCAACAGCTACAGACAGAGGCTGCGTCTAGACTGGCAAGTTTTTCCGCAAAAGCAGCTGCTTTTGCAGAAAAACTTGCCAGCTGTCTACACTGGCCGCTTGAATTTCCACAAGAACACTGACTTCCTGCTATCTGAAATCAGTGCTTCTTGCGGAAATGCTGTGCTGCTCCCATTCGGGCAAATGCTTTTGCACAAGAGGGCCAGTGTAGACAACGCGGTATTGTTTTACACAAAAAAGCCCTGATCGCGAAAATGGCAATCGGGGCTTTCTTGTGCAAAACTACATCTAGACGCTCTTTTCCGCAAATACTTTTAATGGAAAAACTTTTCCGTTAAAAGCATGTGCGGGAAATCATGCCAGTCTAGACGTAGCCAGAAGGTTTATGAACGGAAGGAGAGAGAGACGGTTTGGTTTGACTGGCATATAAAGCAAGAATGCCAAGCAGCTAGAAAATCATTCTGGGCAGGGGGTTAAGGCTGGATTCCCTTCCCCCAATGCTCGTGGTGGACTGGTTTTATGGTTTGCATCAGCGAGTGTGCGGGGAAAAAGGAACCGTAGGAAATATATTTTTGGAGTTGGTCAAAACTGGGGTCATTGAATCCAGCCAAAGTCTCTTGAGGGAGGAGCTGTCCAGGGGTGGGCAGAAGGGACTGGACGTGCCAGCACATGTGGGTTTGGAAGACTCGGAGGGTGTGTAGACTCAGCTGCAGTGCTCAGACTCTTTCCAGGGCCCATCCCAGTGGGAAGTGCAGGCCAAGGGTCCGATCCTGCAGCCTGCTCCCCACAGAGCCCTGGGGATCAGGTCACACAGACCAAGACACTGGACTGTGGCTGAAGTTGCCAGGCTGTTGTTGGATGGCCTTGCCTTGCCCCCCAGGATATTTGTGAGCCTGGAGTGATTTATGATGTGCTTGCCCATATAGTCTACAATACGTCTCCTTCCAAAGAATCCCACAGGCCTTCGCCAGCCAGGAATAACTTACCCTCCCAAGCCAAGATCCCAAAGCCTGTTGCAAACAGGAATTCAACTCCCCAATGTCCCTGGAGAATAACTCCAGAGAGAGCAATGGAGACTCACGGTGACTGACCCAAGATCATACAAGGAACACAGAATCCAGGAGTACTGATTCCTAACCCCTACCCCGCTCCAGTGGACCTCACTTGTCTCCCAGAGCTAGCACTACAACCCGGGAGTTTATGGATGGGTCAAGCAAGAGATACCACGAAGCAAAGAGAAAGTAAATCTAGCTCTACTATCAGAGTTTCTAAAGCCAACCAGCTGCAATTTGGAGACTAGAACTCCTGAGTTCTGTGTTTTGCCTTATGCGCTGAGTGGTTGTTGTAATAAAGACAATGGAAGAAAAGAGTCACCAAAGAATAAAGCAATAATGCACATCCCAAGAGACTCTTTCCTTTTTCCTTTTTTGTTTTGTTTTTTGTTTCGCTATATAATTTTTATTGTACAAAAAAAGTCTAGAAAGAAGGAAATTGGGACAGAAGCAACGGTTATAATATATACACATGACTAAAGCTTAGTTTATACAACATGGAAGAGAAATAACAGGCAATCACTGATTTCTTTTTTCCTTTTCTGTAGCTTTTTCTACAACGGTTTCTGAGAGAGAAGCTTTAAATCCCTCTTGTTCTGCCCTGTCTCGTCATACATGTGAGCTTCCTCTGAATTTTTATTTCTTACATTTGTATGCACCAGAGTTCTCTGTCGTTATTCTTTCGTTGATTGCATCCGTGTGAAATATGCCCCCCGAGTGAGAATTTTAAACAGGAATATTTACTAAGAACTTTTGTGAGCTGGAGGGAGATGATAATTTGTTTCTTAGAGGGACATTTTATATAAATCATATATAAGAACCCATCTTGGTTTTTCCCAGAGCCTGTTAAATGGGATGTGGCCACCTCCCGCAGCGGGTTCAGCTCGGAGAGTAGTTTCAGTGTTGCTGTCAGCTCAGCAGGGGTTGTGTGGTAGACGAGTGAAGCCCACTCATGTTTTTTAAATGGCAAAGCCAACTGACCCACAGCTAAAGAAGTGGCTGCCAGGAGCAGTTGGAATCTCTGGTTTAAGACTCATTTCTGTGGGGCATGTGGGAGGCGAGGGAGAGGATGTGATGGACTTTCATTTTCCAAGATGTTCTATGAAAAACCCCATCACCCCATCAGCATGTTCTCATGGCTTTGCCTCACACGCTGATGGCGCCTCACACCACCCTGGTGAGGTAGGTATTGTCTTTGTTCTACTGAGGAGGAACAAAAACGTTTGCTCAAGGTCAGGAATTCCGATTCCCAGATCTAACCACTATAGCCCACTCCCTTCCCACGCTGGCGTTGTGAAAGAATTTAAAAAAATCATGGTTGCTCCTTAACACATGGCCACCACTTCCCTGCCCTTTCCAGAAGGGCTCTGGAGTTTTTCATAAGCAGTGGGCAGGTGGGTCTCTCTTGTGGGCTGGAACACAGGGTATTCTCCAGCAAGACACCAACACGGAGCCCAGTTTCTTCCCCTGCTCCTGAGCCACTTATCATCTGGGCAGAGTCCTCTACCTGGTCCCAAGTGGGATCAGGGGACTTTTGGGCTGTGTGCCGGGGAACCAGAATTGTCCCAGATGCGCCGAGAAGATCGGTGGAAGATCCAAGAGCCAGGGCAATTTCACACGTTGCAAGCTGAGCTCAGCGATGCTAGCCATTACAAGCTGCCATCTGGAGTCAGTCGAGTATCCTGTGCCCAGCCTCTGGCCACTCGGATTGCACAGACAGAGCAAGGCAGAGGGAACCATCTCCTCCGGCAGCAAGGAAAAAAACATCAAGACGCATACGCACAAATCCTCACGCACAGCAACTACAAGAAGAGAAAGCACAGACATAACAGCATCTCCTGTTGAGCCCTTGGTGTGTCACAAAGGGAAACCCCATACTAGTCTCTTACATTTTCTTTAAACTTCCATAGTGCAAATGGTATCTTAGCCCAAGTCTCTCAGTACAGAATTTTTTTACAGTGAACATTCGGCGTTCACGAGTCAGACGCTTTGCCTCACTCCTGCAGTTTGGGAAGGATCCAGTCTCCCGTTGCCACCCTCTCTGGGCTTCCAGAGCATCCCCAGAGCTCACGCAGCCTGTCGCCACCTGCGTGGCTTGAGGGTTGCCCAGCGAGCGGGAGCAGGGCGGCGGCACGACGCTGTCCAGCGGGGGTGGATGGGTACATCAATAAACGTCCCGTGGATTCTTGCAGGAAGCCTGGTGATGGGGACCTGGAAATCAGCGGATGGAACAAAGTTACTGTAGGGTGCAGCTGCGGCTCCCCTGGCCAGTGCCTGAAAACCCAGGGCCGGGCCCTGCTGGAAAAATCCATCTTGCTAGGAGTACTTGGGCCTCTCATTGACCTGCCGGCTCGGGCTCAGAGCGAGTGTGAGTCACAGTGCAGGGCTGGAGCGGAAAGCTCTGAACGCTTTGATTTTTTTATTATTATTATTTATTTTTAAAATATTTTTATTTATTTATTTCTTTTTGATGTTCAAGTGCTGTGTTTGGTCATGTGATTAAAACAACAACAACAACAACAACAGTGAAAAAAACAACCCAACCAATAAATGGCCTTTTGGTCATGTGATTAAAGTAAAAAAAACAAAAACCTCCCCACCCCAACCAATGGCTTCTTTCCTGAGCCGCCATCCTCGTAAACTCTTCATCGTCAGATGCCCAATGAAAAAACAGACACGAGCTAAGACATTACGCACAGTAACATACACAAGTAAATCATAAAATCCTCGTCGGCTGATCTGTACACACACATGTGAAATGGCATCTGCCTGCCCTCGGCCTGCCAGATTCCCCTGGACAACGCACAGAACCGCCATGAACTGAGTCGTTCCCCGTTGCTACCAGGAGGTCTGTTCATCTCCAGTGTCACCTGGCTGTAGACATTTCCCCAAATTTCTCCATGCCCCAACCAATGGCAGGTGAGAGCTTCCGTGTTTGAGAGGGAGAGAAGGGGCCGGTCTGCCAGATGTGTGTATCGAGGAAGGGTTGTGTATTTGCAGGGAGGTGGGCTGCAGGATTGTGTATCGAGGAAGGGTTGTGTATTTGCAGGGAGGTGGGCTGCAGGATTGTGTATCGAGGAAGGGTTGTGTATTTGCAGGGAGGTGGGCTGCAGGATTGTGTATCGAGGAAGGGTTGTGTATTTGCAGGGAGGTGGGCTGCAGGATTGTGTATCGAGGAAGGGTTGTGTATTTGCAGGGAGATGGACTGTTTGCATTTTTAACTTCCCTGATTTAAACACCACCAGCTGGGGGGAGGGGAGTGTCTCCCATTGACCAGGAGAACTTCAACCCGCCTGGTGAAAGCACTAGGATATTCTCTGTAAGGAATGAAGGCATTAGAATAGATGAGACCTAAGGGCTGTTTTTCAGAGCTCAGTCTCTCCTGGGACAATCTAGGCAGCTTGTCAGTTACTGTAGCCACTAATAAGTTCCTGGTAATATTCTCTCTCCTGGCCCACCTCCTGAGCCAGTAGCTACCATAAAGGACTGATCACAGCCGTAGTTAGAAGCTCGCTCAAAGGACTGATCACAGCCGTAGTTAGAAGCTCGCTCGAGAGCTCCCTTCACTGCTGTGAGCAAGACAGAACTGAGCTATTTCTGGGAAGGCCCTTTGCTCAAAGCCTTTCAAAACAGCCTGGGTGACGCATTAAAAATGCCCTGTGGGGACCAGTCCTGTCCCCAGGGAGCTAACTGGTCTTTTCCATCTCTGAGCTCTGGGATGACGTTTTCTTCCTCCGAGTCTGAATGAGGCCAGCAACAGGAAACTGTACTTAGAAACAGCCTCCTCGTTCCCGCCACCTCCCTTCGGCTCCCCCGTGGGGAAGGGCCACACGTTGGCAAGTCGGTGGCCGGGCTCCATTGCTCAGGTCACTTAAGAATGTCTCCATCTCAAACTGGAGGGGGTTCAAGTACGCAGTGATCATCCAATCCCAGGCTGACCTGCCAGGGTTCTGGGCAGAGGTGCTGAGCAGATCAGCTGAGCTGGCTTGGGAAGGCGTGTTCCCCAGGCACGCTGGCAGGACTGTGGTGAGAAGCATTTTGCTGTCCCAGGGAGGGCCAGCCAAGCTCCAGGAGAGCGAGGGGCTTCTCATGCCGTGGCAGCGTGGTCACCCTGTGTCCAGCGCTGATTTGCTGTGCCCAGTGACAGTGCGGGGAGCCCCGAGGTGCTGCTGTGTTCAGAGCCCGGGGGAAGCGAGGGGGATGGCAACTAGAAAAGGAACCGTCTCCGCATGAGGCGAGCAAGCAGGAGCTGGGATCGCTGCGAAGGAATAAAACCAGGGACCTGCCAGGTTAGGGTGAGCGCCTAGGGTAGGGCCTTGTAGGGACAGCACAAAACCAGCAGTTCCTGGCTCGGTCACTGACTCCCTGTGCGACCTTCCCTATCGCTGCTGCCTTTTCCCCACAGGCTGCGAGGCAGGGGTGAGCACCCTTTGGTACAGGGGAGACTGGCTGCAAATGGGGAAGCAGCTCCCCTAAAAGACAGCAGCAGAGAGGGAATCGGATGCTGACTCCCAGTCACCCGAGACTGACCGCTAGACCCATGTAGTCTAGGCCTTTCTATTCTGAACGTACCTCTCCCCCGGGCTGTAATATCTCGTGGGTCCTTCACGTTGGGCACCCGTGTCAGGGGACGGGTACAAAGCTGCTCCGGTCCCTTTGTGCTCAAGCCATGCGGTTCTGGAGCAGCACAGTGTAGCTCTGTGCTGGTAAGAGGAAGCGGCGCGTTCTTCGACCCCAAACTGGGGCTGCCTTCCTTGCCCGGGCCCGGAAGGAGGGTCCCCAGCAGCGGATTGGACAGAGGACCAGGGGCTACGTCCTTGTCACTGCTTTGGCTGCCAGGCGGGGGGAAGCAGCAGGGAGCATGAGAACGGGCCTGTCAGATCCTGGTTTCAGTCGGCTGCTGCCACGGGGGCTCCGAAGGCTCCTGGCAGGTGTCAGTCCCTGCGCTGCCACTGTGAGAACCCACGCTGCACCCTGGGGCTCCCTGACTGCTCGCCGGCCCAGGGTCCGCCTCGTCGCCTGTCGCCCCCCTGACCCCTCCTGTCTCTTTGCCCCGGGGTCGGACGGGGGTGGGGGTGGCTGCAGCGACGCACGAGACAGGCTGTGAATCCTCCTCGCTCCTCCCCAGCCGGGCTGTGTGGTCGTCCCAGTAGAGAAGGGGGGCAGGGATGCCAAGGCAGATGGTGCCACTTCAGCTCACAGCCACGTCGGAGGGACAAGTTCTAACAAGCTTCCGATCCAGGGCTCTCTGCCACTCAGGACTTCAGCATGAAAAGAGGATCTCTGGGTTCCTGGCGTCCTATTGCTTGAGGGACCCCTCCTCAAAACCAGGCCATAGTCTGACCCTGCCAGGCCTCCCTGGGCCGGGGATGGAATAAGCGTGTTCCACCGAGAGCGCAAACTGCAGCCCCGAGCTGGCTGGTGCACTCCAGGAAAATGCCACCTGTTCCAGCACGGAGGGGGGGGGGGCGGCACAGCCAGGGAGGATGGAATACAGTGGGTGCCTCAACATGGCAAAGGCTTGGGGTTTCCTTCCCTTCTCAAGGAGCAGCTCAGCCTGACCCCTTGAGCTGCCCGTCATTGGCCTCGGCTGGCAGCCTGCCTAGGGTCCAGGAGTAAGTGAATCCATGAACAGTGCTTTGAACATGTAAAGCGCTACAGTCTATAAGTGCTAAGGAGCAAGGCGGCAGGCCAGGGCCAAGGCTCCCCACCGGGAAGCCCTGAGATCTGTGCCTGGCTCTGCCATTGGCTCTTGACAGTGGCGTCCTCTCTCTCCGCCTCAGTTTCCCCTCTGTCGGGCGGGGCCCTCCCCTGGCTAAAGCGCTTTGAGATCCATGAGACAAGTGCTAAGTCCTGCGGGGCCGCCTGCTCCCTGGGCCAGTCGCTCCGACGGAGCAGAACTGATCTCTCCAGCAGTGGCAGAAAGCAGGACCACAGGGAGCTATGCCCAGAGCCTCTTTCAGCCTGGCCCACCCCTAAGTGCTTTGTAGGGTGTATGCCTAGAAGCAGGCAGGCTCCAGCCAAGGGGGAAAGGCGGAGCCACCTTTGCGCTCGGAGCTGCACACAGTGTCTTGGTAGAAGTGGCTCCA